CTTCGGCGGCGGTCCCCTCGGGTAGCTGTACCCATACATGCCGAAGCCGTAATATCTGTAGCCGTACGGCCGGGGCATGAGCCACGCGAACATGTCCTCCGCGCGCGAGCGGTCGGAAGAACGAGAGGGCGAGGTCTTCCCTCGTCCACCCTCGTCCTCCATTCTCATCCCCCCCCCAATCCCCCCCCCTTCCTCCCGCTCCTCAACCATGCGTCGTCTCTCTCTCCCTGTTTCCCGTGCCCACCCATCCTCCTCTTATCCGCTCCGCCTATTCACCTCTTCCACCTCCCCCCCCGCCTCCTCCTCCTGCTGCTGCTGGGGGAGGAAAACGGGAGTGCAACTTGCGAAGAGAAGGGGGGGGTGGAACGTGAGAGGAGGGGAGAGAGGGGAGGGGGGAAGGGCAACTGGGGATGGGACGAGAATGTACATGTGAACGGTTGGACCGACATGACATGTTCGGCGAAAAGGATCAGGAGCTGTCTGGGACACAGCGGCGGCCGAAAAGGCAAGTACGCGACAATCGCGCCGTTGGCGGCTTATTCTGAATGTTTATAGGGCATGTTTGGGTCCTCGGCCGTGTTGGGGCTCGTGCCTTTGGGGCAAATTTGGGCCCTCATGAAGCCATCCTGGGCTGCCATTGCTGGCCCCAGGATTCCAGGAGGCCCGGCTGGACACCAATTTACTGGTGGCTTGCGGAGACACCGGCCCAGGGCTCCCAGGCCCAGGTTCCCTTGTTACACGCATATGGTCATCACCATAACCAGCATAATCCCCCGACCCCCGTGATTTGCAAACATATCATGATGAACATGTCAATCGTCCTCATAATCATCATCACCACCACCACCGTCATCATCATCAGCAGCATCATCAGCATTGCCAACAATGGAATCATCACCAGCACCATCACCACCATCATCGTCATCAAAACCACCACCGTCATCACCATTACCACCATTATCATCATCGCCATCATGATCATCGGCATCATCACAGTTATGATCAGCACCACCACCAGCAACAGCATACTCATCAGCATCATCGTCATCATCGCCATCACCAGAATCGGCATCATCATCTGCAACGTTCACTTCCTTCTCACCATCACCAGCACCAGCATCAGTATCACCATCACACTCATCAGCATCGTCATTATCATCATCCGCATCATCAGCATCGCCATCAACGTCATCATTTACATCATCATCAACAACACCCGCATCATCATCAACATTTGGATTATTGGCGGTCGCTCAGGTTCTGCTGGTGGCCGTTCCGCCTTCCTGCATCCACGCGTATCATCTGTGGAGGTTATCCTTGGCCTGGCGCGCGGGCGCGCGTGGGCGAACTGCCCCAGGCGCTCGAATCGAGATCTGTGGGTGCAGCTGTGGGCCAAGTTGGATGTCCACGGCGGCCTCTCCTCGGACGTGCGCATCGTTGACGTTCGTGCGCGCGAGAGCAGCAACGACCAGCACCAGCATGGCAACGATTGGGCGGACGCGCTCGCTCGCTCGAGATCGGGGCCCCACTGCTTCACGGACCAGCAGAACGTGGAGTCCGAGCTCCTTCTTCGACACCTTCGTCAGACGGCCTGCTGGGTGGCAGCGGTGCACGACGGCCTGAAATCAGGGGCCTTGGCGCCAGATCGCGATCCGCGGCCGCCGCGTACACGAGGGCTGCGGACGCGCCAGCAAGGGCGACGCTGCGGTCAGCCATGCGCGACGGCAGCCTCTGCTCATGTCCCGTTTTTCGCTGCCTCGTGGTGGCGTTGCGCATGGTGCAGCAGAAACGCTCGCACGTTGGCTGGTCGGGCGCGCGTGCTCCGCCAGACGCGCAGGGGGATTTAGCTCAAGGCGCGGGCCCAGGCGGCTCAGGGTGAAATGGTCGAGCGGACCTATGAGTTTCCTCCTCCTCCTCCTCCCCTTTCGCGCCCCGCGGCCGCCCCAGCATCCCCCGGAGGAGCCCAAAAATGCCCCCCAGTTTTTGGTCATCGGGGTTCCCGGAGGCGGATACTGGCTCCAGTCCTTGGGGCCCGAGGGGAGGGCCTCCGGCGGCGTCGCAGGATGCCGCCAACATTTCGAGCCAGTGTTCGGCGGCCCCAGGCGCGGGAGAGGGTGCCCCAGTCGGTTTTTCTCCGTCCCGGGCTGTCCAAAGGCCTTCTCGCAAGCGAGCGCGTTTCGCCGAGGACATCGAACCTTCGGAATGAAGTCCGGCCACGTCAACTGGCCCCAGGCGATGCTGGCTGCCGCAGCGCTGATGACTGGACCGGCGCTGACGGCTTCTGTGCCTTCCCCGTCCTCCGAGCCGTCGGCTGGATCCGCTTCTGGAACTCTGGCGACAGATCCTGGCTCGGGTGGGGCCGGCGCGGATTTCCCTGGAGCCCCCGCGCCGTCACGCGGTCAAAGGCGGCCTGCCTCTGCTCCTTCAGCTCGTGCCGTGCGGCCTTGTACTTCTGCGTCGTCGGGGTCGGCGGGATCGCACCCCGGAGCTCTTGCGCTGGAGGCCCCTGTGGGGAGTTCGGCTGAATTCCCACCGCCTGCGGTTGGCGGGTTGAGCTCTCGCGCCCAGTCGGCCGCGGGCCAGGCCTGCGGGCCCGCTGGGCAGTGCGGCGCCCCGCCCCAAGAGGGCTCGGGGGGGCAGCCTGGGCCGAATTCGGCAACCCCAACCATTGCGCCTCTCCCCGAGTCCGTGCCGCCTGAGGCGTGCAGGGGGCATAGGCTCAGGGTCGCAGACGAGTTCGTGGCGTGCACGGCGTGCGGATCCTATGCGAGAGGCGCGGCTCGTGGAGGCCTGCTGCTGCCTAGCGATCCAACCCCACTCCGTCGAGAGACGCACAAGCGTGATCGTTTGAATCGTTGTTTGCTGGGCTTTCACCCCGACGACCCTCGTGTCATGATTCCTGTCCATCGTGCCCTCGTCGTTGGTGATGAGACTCTGACATGGCTGTTGTTCGCGTAATTTGTTCGCGTTCGTCTGCTATGTTCGTTGTAGCCTCCACTGAGGCGCGGAAGGGACGCCCTGGCCGCGATGCCCGTCTGGGTCGTTGGGGGCCTCCTCGCTCGTTCCGTTCATTCGACGCGCGCGGCGCACGATCCGAGCTCGGTCCCGACCATCATCATCATCATCATCATCATCATCATCATCATCATCATCATCATCATCATCATCATCATCAGCATCAGCATCATCATCATCATCATCATCACCACCATCGTCATCGTCATCGTCATCAGCATCATCATCATCAGCAGCATCATCATGATCATCATCACCAGCATCAACAACATCATCAGCAGCATCATCATCATCGTCGTCATCATCAGCAGCATCATCATGAGCAGCATCAGCATCAGCATCATCCTCATCAGCATCATCATCGTCATCATCGTCATCCTCATCATCATCAACATCATCAATAGCATCTTCATTATTAACAGCATTATCATCAACACCATCTCCACCAGCTTGGCCTGAACCATCGTTGTTATCAACATAACTGCCATCGAATCGCCGTCGTGCATTGACATCAACATCACCATCACAGCAAGCATGATGATGATGCTGGTGACGGTTATCATCATCCTCATCATCACCATCATCATCAGCATCATCAGCATCACCATCATCATCGTCGTCATCAGCATCAACCACTGCATCAGCATCATCAACAACATCACTATCATGAACATCATCACCACTATCGTCAGCATCAGCACTATCATTATCGCAACCATCAACACCACCACTACCAACATTATTGCCGCCACATCCATGGTCATCATCGACACCACCACCACCACCATCACCGACATCAGCATCACCATTCCTTCATCACCATCATCGTCAACATCATCATTATCATCATCATCATGATCATCATGATCATCATGATCATCACCATCATCACCATCGTCGTCATCATCATCATCAGCATCATCATCGTCTTCGTCACCATCACCATGACCATCACCATCAATGTCACAATCACCATCACCATCGCACACAATGATTCTCGAGCCGAGTGCCCGCGTGGCCCAGCGCCAACGCGCGCGAGGCGGCGCCCTCACAGGGCTGCCGCGAGTGGCGTGGAACGCCACCAACTCGACGGCAGCCAACATCTCCTGCAGCGCCTGAGGGGGTGTCGCGCGACCCTGCTCGCTTGCAGGAGGGGCCCCCAAGAGCAGGCTTGCGGAAGCAGCCGCCCCCGCCTGTTGGTCCGCGGCGGCAGGCACTCCGCGTGACGCCGCGCCGCCCTCGTCGGGGCGGCCCTGAAGTCACCGCAGCGCCACGAAGCCAGAGCGGCAGCGGGACTCGATGAGCTCTCACGAGTCGGCGCGCGACCACTCGAGAAGCGGGGCGCTCTGAGGGAACGCCGAAGCCCTGGTCCGGAGCGGATGTGTCGGGCGCTCGCGCGTGCCGTCTGTCCAGGCCCAGCAGTGTACCGCGTCGCCTGCCAGCGGGAGCGGCGCGGGCAGCGCAGGCGCGGACAGCGGCCACGCGGGCGTCGATCAGAAGCGCTCAGGCGCTCGCGACCCCCAGCGGCAGTCCGGCCCGCAGGGCAGCAGCCGAAGCTCCCCAAACTCGAGGGTGGCACGCTCTGATTCGATTCCCCCCGCTTCGTGAGCGCCGGCTACTACTCGACGTTGTCGCCAGCATACACCGCGCACGACGCAACCTGCGTCCGGCGCCAAAAGGATCTGCCTCCCCGGAGTCTCCGACCGGCACGCCTGTCAACGCGGGAGTGCACGTGGGCAAAGTCCGCGCGGCAGACTGCCAGCACAGCGGGCCTCCGACTTGACCTGTGTCGGCAGCGCGGCTCAAGGCGCCCTCGGAGAACGGCCTCGTGCCTCGTGGAAGCTGCCGGAATATAGCGGGAGCAGAGGCCACGCCTGCCGACATCTACCGCGTTCACCTGCCACATCTCCCGCGTGCACCATTGCTCTCAGCTCCTCTTTCTTCGGCTTGTCCTCCTCCTCCTCCTGCTCCTCCTCCTTCTCCTGTCTTCTTCGAAACATTTGGGCGGTCGGGCGCGACACCGGTCGCGCTGGCGTGGCCACGGCGGGGCCCGCCAGGCCGAGGCAGCCACGGCCTCAACGGGATGCCAACCGACTTACTCCCTTCTGAGAACACGTTCACTCTTTCTCTCATGGGACCTCCCCGAGGCCAAGACGCACGTGACGGGGCTGGGACCCCCCCTCTTCCTCCTCCTCCTCTTCCTCCTTCCTCCGTCTTCCCCTCCCTCTCCTCCTCCCCCCTCTCTTTCTCCTCCCTCATCCTCATCCCTCCTTCCCTCCCTCCCTCACTCCATCCGTGTCATCACGGCACGGGGCGATGCCCCCCCCCCTCCACCCCACTCCGCCCCCCCCAGCGCGGGCCTGCCCGAACCACATGCTAAAGCTGCTCTGGCTCACGACGCGGCCACCACCACCGCTGCCTGGCAGCACTGACGTGGCGAGCGTGGGGGGGGAAGGGAGGGTGGAGGAGGAAGAGGCGAGGGGGAAAAGGAGAGGGGAGAAGGGGGGGAAAAGGTGCTAGGGGGTTGGCCCGTGGGGCGTCGCCGCCGCTGAAGATTGCGCAACAGGGTCACCGACTGACGTTGAAGACCCGAGAGGCGAGATGATGAGAGGGCACGAGGAAGGGCCAAGGGAGGAAGAGACGCGAGACAGGAAGAGGAAGTAATGGTAATAGCACTGGTAAGGGTGCATAGGCGGACGGGAATCCAGTCCGCCTAGCCGCACCGCGAGGACCAACAAGAAACTAGAATCGCACAACCGGAACACGCGCAGCCGTTTTGGCCCATTGGCATTGAGCGAAGCTTATCTGGAAGATGCCACCACTGTGCTGCACAGCATACAGACCCAGCAGCCCCAGCAGCCCCACCACCAATACATACATGTGTGTATACATATCGGCATGTGTATATGTACAGGTTCATATATATATATATATATGTATATATAACTATATGTAGTTGTATATGTGAAACTATATGTACATGTATATATACATATATATATATATGCGTATTCATAAACGTTTGCATATGTGTAGGTATGTACGTATAGATGCATGCATGCATGTGTGTTTGTTTGGTTGTTTGATTGCTTGCTTTGTATGTGTTTATGTATATATATATATATATATTCACGTTGGGGGCCACAACACCCTCACAATATGCACGCCAGCCTCCGCTGGAAGAGGACACAACCGCTGCCTAGCTGCTGCCCGCAATATTTCCACCTCCCCCCGCTCGTGCTACTGGTTGTGTTACTGGTGTACGGTTGTGATGGCTAGAGGTATGATCGTTGGTGCTCTTCTCCTCCTTCAGCTGACTGCTCGCATGATCACTCTGCGCCCTCGCAAGATCGTCTTGTTTCCAATGGTCTGCGCCTTTCTTCGTCCAGCACTTGTTTGCAACCGTACTGACGACGTATCGCCTAGGTCGGTTGGCTCGAAAAAACGTACCACCCAGACGCTACGAGCATTCGTTGATCAGAATCAGGCCAACGTTCGGCGGCTCCGAAAGGTTTGGTTTACAAAGGGTGTGGTGTGCAGCCCGTATCCTGGGGGCGGGCGAGGAACTCGAGGAGTTCTTCGCCGCGCCACGAGGAGGCCCGACGAGGACGTGGTGCCCCTCAAGCCCCAACCGACGCAAATCGCAACACCACAACCCGGCGTAACCCACAGCATCCATAGTCGCCGATTGATGCACAAGGCATATCTTCAAATTTCTCCATGCGTCCCGACGGGCACACGTCATCAGAGCATGAACGGAATCACGCGCCTGACGCGCACCCCGGAATCATGAAGTTCCAGAACAAGGCGGGAGAGGAGGAGGACAGCCCGTGCCCCCCCCTCTCCCCTACCCCCAGCAACGGCGAGGCACCGACGTGGGACTCCCGTCTGACGAGGTGGAGGACCATGACGAGCAGTAGGAGAGGAGGGGATGGTAAGAGAAAAAGGGGAGGGGCAAGCGGTAGGAGAGGAGGTCAAGGAGGGAGAGGAGGACGGAAGGGATGCAAGGGTCAGGGGTAGATGGGGAAAGAGGAGCCGCTGTAACTGCCTCCTGCTCTACCCCTCTCCTTTTATCCTCCTCTCCTCCCTGGGATGAGCTCAGGCAGGAGTACCCCAAAGTTGTCGTTTCCCCTCTCTCCGACGACCTACCCCGCCCTCGACAACCCCCAGCAGGTGCGTGTCGAGTGGGGGGGACCTCAGGGGGTATGATGTTTGCGTGGATGATCCCTGTTTTCTCGTCGGCTAGCTCGGGGGGGAAGTGAGACAAGGCGGGCCTTCTGAGAAGTGGTCTGAGCCATCCCCGGAGACACAGAAAATGCCCCAGAGTGCGCGAGGGTTTCTGCGAAGTCCCGCCGACATTTGAAAAGGACTTCTGCCTCTGACTTCTCCCCCTGTCTCGTCACCAAGTTTAGGCATTCGATTCGGGAGCTCAGTAGGGCGTACTATTCTTGGCTGGTTCTGGGCCTTTGTGAGGCGATAGGAGCGGTTTGGGACGCTCCGCACCAACAGTAGCGGAGCACCAGGCGATGGCATCCCTGCCTATCTGTGTCGAGTATTCTGGCACCAAGTCTAGTAACTGCGTGACGGTGTTCAGGCCGTGCCAGATCAGTGCTGCTCGCGGCAAAACTCATGGCCAAAGTCTTCGGTCCTTTCCCTCTGAATGGTCTGATCGAATCCCCCCGGATCCGAGTGTCGCTTTCTGAAGTCTATGGGCTGGCACCACTGAGCAACTCTGGAGGAAGGAAGAGATTGACGATAAAGATGCCTGGCGCTCTGGAAAGATCCTGGGATCAGGCCCGTGATCGGACGCCCTGGCCCCAGAAAGACGTGGCAACGGGGTCATGGATTGCAGCATAGCCCACACGCTTGCGAACACGCGCGTGATCAAGGGACCGACGGAGTCGACCATGAAATTTTGGGCGCAGCGGGCGCGGGGCGCGAAGACAGAGTGCGGCTGCGGAGGCAGTCGTCGTCGAACGTCGGGAACGGTGGTGCGCCATCCTCGAATGACAGAAGGCGAGGGGCAGTCAGCGAAGCAAGGAGCGCCATGCCTCCAGCCCCGCATCGGTGAGCAGGCCAGAGGAAGGAGAGGCAGAGAGAGGAGGCCAGGGGAGCAAACATTGACACAGACACGAAAAGTCGGAGGTCCGCACGAATTCCTCGGATCGGCGCTGGACCCCCCCTCCCTGGCGCGCGTCGCGCGCCAGGGGCGGCGTTGGAGGCGCCGCCAAGGGGCCCCATCGCCGATCCGAGGAATCCGCGCGGTCCCCTGAGTTTGGTTTGTACCATTATTGGTTCCCCGACGACCGTCGAGAGTCGAGACGATGGGGGCGCTCGTGGCACGCATCCCGGAGCGGGAGGCGGCTGCCGGAGCCACGGCCTCGGCTTCTCCTGGCGGCTGGACTGGCAGCAGTGGGCTTCGCCCTCATGGCATCGCTGATGATTCCTCTTCCTCGACTTCCTCCTCCACCTCCACCATAACGACTTCCCTCCTGCCCTTCCTCCTCCTCCCCCTGCCCCTGCCGCTCTCCCTCCTCATAATACTATCATCAGTACTATTATTCATATTCCTCCTCTTCCACCTCCTCCTCCTCCTCCTCCTCCTCCTCCTCCTCCTCCTCCTCCTGATCAGCATCATCATCATCATCATCATCATCATCATCAGCATCATCATCATCATCATCATCATCATCATCATCATCATCATCATCATCATCATCATCATCATCAGCATCATCAGCATCAGCAGCATCATCAGTATCATCATCAGCACAATATTAATCATCAGCAGCATCATCCTCACCACCACCATCAGCATCATCATCAGCATAATCACCATCATCATCAACATCAGTTACAGTTTCAGCATCATCATCATCATCATCATCATCATCAACAACATCAGCATCAAGATGAATATCATCATCGCCTGCAGCATCATTACCCTCCGCATCATCAGCATCAACATCAATATCAGCATAAACATCAGCATCAGCATCATCATCGCCTTCATCGTCACCATCATCATCATCATCATCGTCATCATCATCGTCATCATCTGCATCCTCACCATCGTCGTCCTCATCATCGTCTTCATCCTCATCATCGTCATACTCATAAGGAGGAGAAGGGCAGATCCGAGGCCAAGGCCAAGCTTGAGGTACTGCGCGCCCAGCTCGGCGGCCTTTAAAAGTTCGCCGAGGTGCCAGAGCAAGCCCCATTGGTCGCTGCGAGTATCGATCTGGTTACACAGGTTGATACCCTTCAGGCTGAACATGAGAAAGCAGTCCCTCGATGCTTCACCGAGGTAAGCGTCACGACGACGCTCAAGAGAAGGATGACAAACTCAAGAAGTGCAGGGACCACGTCCAGACCTTGGCGCATCATTTCAAGGACATCCAGGACAAGACCACGTCCGAGTACGAGCGCATGGGGACCATCAGCGAGAACATCGAAACACTGAAGGCGAAAGCAGAGATGTTGTAACGTCCCGCTGAGGGCGCCGGATGGGAGGTGGCCCTGGAGTACATGCAGGGCGCGTACGCCGCATTGCTGCACGAGGGATGTGACATGAGCGTGGGCGAACAGGAGCTGGCGGTCGCACAGCTCGCAGCGGCGATGAGGACGGCCATGGCCAAGAAGGCGGACATCGACGAGACGCAGGCTGCAATTGAGCAGACACAGATTGCTGCATGCGCTGCTGACTCGGGCGCCGCGGGGTTTTGCGATCCGCCTCCGGCCAGGGTGCCGCCGTGGGTCTCCGACAAACTCACGTTCTTCGCGGAGCAGATCAAGGCAGGCAATTTAACGAATCAGTTGACGCTGGCTTACGAGCTGTTAAAGCTGCGCGCAGAGGCTCCGACTGCGACCACAGCCGCGGGGCCAGCGACCAACCTCAGCGAGAGCGTGCAAGACGCCCAGGACAGCATGGAGGGAATCACGGCACAGGAGGCCAGCACGACATGGAACACTATGCCCGGCAACCGCCGCTGCATGCCGAGCAAGCACACCGTAGACACGCCGCAGGTGGGCCAGAGCGGGTCAATCTTGGCTCCCACGGGCGCCTGACGGAGGAGCGGCGTGCCAGGCGAGGGGAAGGACCGCGTTCGACCTGCGAGCGGCGAGCCCGCAATACCAGAACAGTTGCTACTGCGAATATCACGTCGGCTGGGCCAAACACTGCGCCCAGCCCGGGGGCCGCCCAGCTTGGCCTCAACTGCACTGGCAGGATGGCTTAGCTGGACGAATATTTCAAGGCAAGTGAATGTGATCTTATTTGCGTGCAGGAGGGTCGCATGAGCGAGAAGACGACGCTACGTGGCATGCACAACGACATGTTCGTCTTCCCTGAGGTGGGGCCTTCCCGGGCGTTGGGCTTTCAGCTTTGAGTACATAGGCGTCTCAATGCCAAGGTTGCGGCGGCGACGCAGATCTCTGCCCTGATAGCCGTTAGCACCATCAACGTCCAGGCTAAGAATCGCAAGTACAGGCTGAAGCTCTTCAACGCGCATGCTCCCATACAGGATGCCCCGTTGGAGAAACACGACAAATTCTATGTGGACCTTGAGGCAGGCGGCGAAAAAGGCTTGCAGCTGCTGGTAGAGGTGATCGAGGTGCCCTCGAATCCGGAGATCTCCCTCTCCAGTGGCGGGGAGGACGACTCGCGAAGCTGCACGAGGGCAAGGGCGAGCACTTCTCCTGCGACTCCTATCGCGGGCTGCTGATTGGCGACCACGCGTCTAAGGTGTACACCGGGGTGATCGCCCCACCCGTCAAGGCTGCAGAGGGGTGCCAAGCCGGCACCAACAGGGGCCATCACTTGGCATCTTGCTTCAATGAACGCGTCCAAATGCTCTTCCTGAATCTCTCGAAGGCGTTCGATCGTATAGATCGACATATGGCCTTGGGAGTGGCAGAGGCCTAGCAAGACCCGGACATCCTGGAGCAGGCCGATGTGCTGCTGGACGCAGCCCGCCACATCGCCGGATACCTGGCGGACAAGAAGTCGGCCTTGAACTCCTTGGATATGCCGCCTCGTCTCTTCGTTTGCTGGACACGTTACACACCGAGACTTGGTTCGTCTTGGGGGCTGGCGGGCGTGTCATCCGCACTACGCGCGGATCGCGCCAAGGGTGCAGATTTGGGGCTCTCATCTTCAATTTGGTCTATGCGCAGGCGCTGAGGGAGCTCGAAGTCAAGCTACGGCCCCTCGGCCTCACTCTTGCCCTGGAGGCTTCGGCGGAAGGGGCCCTGTGGGAGCATGAGCTTGACAAGCAGACGCAGGGACTGCTGCAGGAGATCCCCGTGCACGAGGTGACGTACGTCGACGACGAAGCGATCTTCCTCGTGGCGAAGTCGAACGAGGCTCTCGCGGAGGGCTGGGCTGAGGCAGCGAAGACCACAAATGCCGTGCTCACGAACCATGGCCTGCAGGTGAATTGGGAACCAGGGAAGTCCGAGGCCATTGTCCTGTGGCACGGGCCCAGCGCGAGGCTCGTCAAGGGAGTCACCCTTGTAGACGGCCAGCCTAGAGCTCGCTTGGACGAGACACATGCGTGCCGAATTGTAAGTACCTGCAAACACCTCGGCTCTATGACATCGGCGCTAGACATCGATGCGCGCTTGAAGCGGGCATCTGGGGTACCACGCCCTGGTGACCAATGCATTTGCGATGCAATGGATATAGTTAGCAGAACTGGAGGCTGCGACTGTTCACATCGTTGGTGCTGTCGGTCTTGCTATACAACGGTGAGCTGTGGGTGCCGACGGCGGTGCACATAGGAAAGCTGCTCATGTTCTACATGCGGGCCGTCCGCAGAATCATGCGCGAGCCGCGGGTTCAAATACCAGGCAGGCCCCGGCGGACAGACCTTGAAATACTGAGACAGTTGCATACGCGAATCGTTTGCGGCGCAGGCGTTTGGGCTACGTACTCAGTCTTCGGCAGAATCCTTTTCCGCCGCTGCTGGCCACGCTGCAGGCGCATGGACCGCGGCCGTCTGCCTGGGCCAAGCTTGTATTAGAGGATCTGCGTAACATGCGCGAGTGGGATCATTCGCAAGCCAATGCTGTAGGCCTGGATGCCATGGGCGACCCGCGTGCGAAATGGTAGAGGTGGGTTGCCTGGGCCCAGGAGCAGCCAACCGATGTCAGAGCTGTGGTGCGCGACTTCACTGCCCGGGCGGGCATGGAGGCCAACCCCCCAGAGGAGGCCATGCTGACGCACGCCTGAGAGCAATGCAACGAACGGTTCACATCCAATAAGGCCATGGCTACGCATAAGATGCAAGCACACGGGTACCGAAGCCAGTGGCAGCCATCCTGGCACCAGACGCAACGGCGTGCCCGACTTGCTCGCGAGATTTTGCTTCGCACCGCCAGCTGCTCGACCACGCGCAGTATCGTGCGAAACGCTGCCGTGCGGCCCTGCTCCAGGCATGATGTGTCGACTGCGGCTGCTTCCGAAGCGACGGCTGCGTGCAGTAGTGCACGCAAGCATGACTGAATTCATTTTCAGCATCACGACGCTGCCTATGGCCCGTTAGGTATGCCATACTCGTCATCGTCATCACCATCATGAGACCATCCTCACCATCATCGTTATCATCACCATTACTTCAAGCACCGCCACCACCACCACCACCACCATCATCATCATCATCATCATCACCACCAGCATCATCATATCACCAGTATCGAAAGCATCACCATCATTAGCATCACCATCATCATCATCATCGGCAGCAGCATCATTATCACCATCATCAGCATCACCATCGCCATCATCATCAACATCACCATGACCATCACCAGCATCAGTATCAGAATCAGCACCATCAGCACCACCATCGTCATCATAATCATCAGTATTGTTATGATTGTCCTGCCATCGGCAGCATCACCATCAATATACACAACAGCATCAGTATCATGGTCATCAACATCCTCACCATCGTCATCCTCGTCCGTGTCGTCATCATCATCGCCATCATCAACATCATCATCGTCGTCACCATCCGCAGCATCGTCATCAGCATCAGCATCAGCATCAGCATCGGCATCATCATCGTCGTCACCACCATCATCATCATCATCATCATCATCATCATCATCATCATCATCATCATCATCATCATCGCCATCATCATCGTCATCACCATCGTCATCAACATCATCATCGTCATCGCCATAATCGTCAACAATCATCATCAACAACATCATCATTATCATCATCAGTATCACGATCGCCGTCATCATCATCATCATCATCATCAGCATCAGCATCATCATCATCATCATCATCATCATCATCATCATCGTCATCATCGTCATCATCGTCAGTATCATCATCATCACCATCATGCCTCCCGCGGACAAAAGATCGTGCAAGGACGTCGCCAGGGCAAAGGCAAGAGCACAGAACAACCCTGTTCAAGAATAACCGAGTCCCTGCCGTTCGCCCAAGCCGCCCTGCGGAAGGGCGCGTCGACGAACGTCGGCCTTCAACGGCGCAAGCTGCCTAGCTCGCTCGCTCCGCTACTGCGGGCCTTGCTGACCACAGCCGCGCCGGCAAGGACAAGAGCAAGTGCCTAACAACATGTCTGTTGAGCCTGGCGCCAGAGTGCCGCGCCTGTGTCCAGGCGAAGCGCTTCAGCTCTCGCAATCTTGTGAGGTGCGCCGCGCATCGCCATCGGCTTGCGCCTACCATTCTCACCAGTATGATAACCTGGGCCGTGTTTTTTCGAGGAGGCGAACAAGGAAACGAAGGAGGAGGAAGAGGAGGAGGAAGAGGAGGAGGAGGAGGAGGAGGAGGAGGAGCGCGAAGCCTGAGCCGTGGGTTGTGTCTCAGGTTATTGGTCTGTGGCCACACTTCTCCCCTGGTGGGGTCTCCTTCTCGTTCCGGGGCCACTGTCTAGTAGGAAGTGGCCACTCCTGGAACCTCGACTCCTCCTCATCCAGCTCCTCTTCCTCTTCCCCTCTTCCTCTTCCTTCTTCTCCCCCTCCTTCCTTATCCCCCGCTCCCGCGGCGCCGCTGCGATCACGGTCTGTGCTCGTCGACATCAGGATAATCACAGCGCCTCAGCACAAAGAAAATATGGGGCAGAAGATTCAGGATGGACAGCCGGAGGATCAGGAAGAAGGGCGGAGTGGGAAGGGGAGGGATAGGAGGACAAGGAGCAGCAGCAGCAGCAGCAGCAGCAGAGGCAGAAGAAGCTGTTCACGCATGCTAGGTGAACTCGTGCCATATCTGACACCCGCCCCCTCCCAACCCATCCATTCCCATAGGGCCGGACCTTTTCTATCCTCCGATTGGGATGTCATAGAGCACATGGATCCCCGAACCAACCACATCGTGTGATGCGCAATCAAAATCGGGCGGCGAAGGAAGAGGAGGAAGACAAGGAAGGAAGAGGAGGATAAGGAGGAGTAGCAGCAGCAAGAGCAGGACAAGCAGGAGGACCAGGGGAAGGCGGAGGAGGGGGAAGGAGGGGGACAGCAGCGACGAGGAACGACCCGGATCCAGGAGCGTGGCCAGCGCTGGGGAGAGACACCCACTCTGACCAACTCGTCAAATGTGACAACAACTGCAACGGGAACACCATGGAACGACCGAAAAGCGTCCCGGCAGGAGTACAAAATGATTGGGACCCTGTGCGTGAAACAATACGCGAGAGGGGCGGCGGAGCCACGAAGCCGCACGACATCTAACATCCTACCACTCCCGCATATCCCATCCCATTGCGTTGGATCCGTTGCTACCCGCCGACTGGGGTACTCTGGAGAACTTTCATACACAAATGGCAGCTGCAGGGATTGAACCATCGACTACTGCGCAATCGGACAAAAGGGGCTCCTTTGTAAGGGCAACGATCGGGGGGGACTGGCATAGGGGGGGAAACATCGACCTGGAATCGGCGAACCATCACCGACAGCTCGACGATAGGCCTCCGACGGTGAATCCGCACGTTCTGGGCAGGTTGGGGCTATCGGGCCCCGATCGGCGATCAACGGGCGATTAGGGGTCGATGCATCCCCCCCTATGCCTATCCCCCCCTTGTCGTTGTCCCTGGCCTGCGCACATGGGAGAAGCAGCAGCAGGATTCGGATGAGCAGAAGGCGGAGACGGACGAGGACAAGCATCCACCGACCCCTTGGGGTCTCCCGGCGCCTAAGACAGTTCCTCCTATGCAGAAAAAACAAAAAGTAACAAAAAGGGGCCCAGGGACACACACACACACACACATAAATTCATACAAATACAAGAAAACCGATACTGATCTCATATTTTCTGGGTGTTCGTCTTCCTCCTTCCCATACTTTCCCGAATGTTACTGGAGTCGACGATTCAGAGTATCTGTCAGAGTGTCTGTCTGTGTATTTCTTTCCCTCCTGACCCCCGTCGCCGACTCCAAAATTGTGCTCGGGGGGGTGGGGGGAAGGGGGCGGGCATCGGCCAAGGGGGGCCTGGGCTCGTCCGAGGCCTGTTTCGACCTGCCAGGGCGCCAGGATGGCGTAAAGAAGCACCCTGCTTGGCCCAAGAGACTCCAAGACGCCCAAGATGGCCTCAAGACTGCCCATGAGGCCCGGAAGAGGCCCCCAGAGCGCTACAAGAGGACCCTCGAGACCACGAAGAGGTCCAAATCACTGATCTCCCTTGGCTATCAATGATTTTGACATTCTTGCCTCGGCTTCCAGCGCCCTACAGTCGGGCTGTTGAATTAATGGACGCTTTCTAGGGAACGAAGCCTCTTTCTGGCAACAGAAGGGCCTCGATGCACGAGGAGGGCCTGAGGAGCAACCGCGGAATGACCAAAAGGGACAGGGAGCCCTTTTCCGAACCCAAAGCGGACCTTCTGTCAGCGCCTCGGCTATGCAGCGGTCCAAGGGGCCCCGAGAGCGCCCTGGGACGGCCCGGAAGGCTCCCCGAGCGGACCCGAAGACGGCCCCGCGCGGACGAAACGCCGCCCCTGTGCGCGCCACGCTCGCCGTGGGCGGGCGCGGGCGGGCAGCGCAGGCCTCCAGGAGACACGCAACCCGGCCTGGGTGCCGCTCGCCTGTCTCGGTGTTCGGGCGCGGCCTCACCGATCCATGCCACGACGAGCACCTGCTGTGACGTCCCCCGCGCCCTCTGGGCCGCCCTCCGGCCGCGCGTGTACGTCTTGAGGTGAGACAAGGGGGACGTCACAGAAGGGGATGGTGTGCCAGGGGTCGGTCAGGCCGCCCCTGATGCATCTCCAAGGCGAGGATATTGTCGAGGGAAGATAAATCGAGAGTCTCTGAATTCCGGCGGCTCCAGAAGACTTCTCGGTCGCCGCGGCCTTCTCAGAGCGTTCCGGAGCGCTCAGATCCTCGTCCTAGTCCCGTCCGACCCGCCCCTTGGACTGGGCGACCAAGCATCGACCACGTCGCCCGCAGCAGCAGTGGGCGACATCTGTGACTGAGATGATATTCAAATCCTTTCCCCAGAGATTCCCCAGCGCAAGCCCCGCTTCGTGTTTCTCCGTTGTTGCCCACGGGTCCCTCCGGATGCTTGGCCACGTTCGCTCGCACGCTCGGTCCTCCACCCCTTAACGCTCCTCCTCCTGCTCGCACACCGCATACAACCAGCAGGACAGCATCGGATGAGAAAATCGAGCCTACAGGCTGCCCCGTCCCAGAGTGCACAGGAGCGTTTCGGAACGAGTCATCTTCGTGCGGAGCCTGTCCGACCACATCCCCCCCTCCACCCCCCCCCTCCACACGACGGCGGCGGCGGCTGCAACGACGACGACGACGACGACGACGACGACGACGACGGCAGCGGCAGCGGCCGCGGCGACGACGATCATGACGACGAAGACGACGACGACAATGGCGTCCTCATCATCTTCCTCGGACTCCTCCTCCTCCTCCTCCTCCTCCTCCTCCTCCTCCTCCTCCTCCTCCTCCTCCTCCTCCTCCTCCTCCTCCTCCTCCTCCTCCCTCCGCTCCTCCCCTTTGCCTGAGAAAACCTCAAGGTCCTGATACCGCTGCCGCGGGCCTATCGTGGGGCGCGCTCTGGCTAGAATTTCGAGGCAAATCGAGCGGTGGCGACGAGGGCCTCCCAGGAGGCACAAACAGGCGAAAGCGAAACAAGGGTGGCGGTTGGCGGTATCGGTACCTTTTTCCTCCTCTGATCTACGACATCCAGGTGGAGCAACACGTCCAATGATTTCGGTAGTGTGACTGGAGGGCTCACATCGATGCCTTTTCCTCGCCTGACTACCCCCTTCAATCTTTCCTCCACGCCCATCCTCCCGCCCTCCCCCTCCCCCTCCCTCCACCCGGGGCTGGCACTGTACAGCATGGCCACGGTCGCCAGCAGCGACGCGCCGAAGAGCACGCGCCCCGTGTAGCCCAGCCAGGGGGCCGCCTGAGGGGGGCCGGGGCAGCGTAGGTTTCGGCAAAGGGCGGCCTATCCGAGAAGGTTCGCGAAGAATCTACGCAACCAAATGCGAGGACGAGGCGTGTTCCCTTCTCTACATCCTCCTCCCTCCTTTCCCCCTCCTCCCTCCTCCCTCCTCCCTCCTCAGGTGCGGGCCGGTTAAGGGGGCCTTGGGGTGCGCTCCCTGGGAGCGCGGACCCCCCCGTCGACCGGCTAGCCCCACACGCGCCGCGCGGCCGCCCGCCATAGCTGCCGCCGCTCGCCCGTGCCGCGGTCTCCGATCCTCGCCCAGCAGGAGCCGGGGCAGGCCAGAGCCTGCCTGGCACCGTCGAGAGCGAGGACGGCGGACCCAAACCCGTACGCTTATTCGCATCGCTTCAGCAAATCATCTTCTCCGGGCTCATCACAGCGCGACGTCACGCCCCTGGCAGCGACAGGCCGACTCTGGCTCGTCGCAGCCTGCCTTCTCGCCGGGGCAACGGTGGCAGTGCGGCCAATGTGGCACTCACAACTGGCCAAATGTGCGCATGTGTGCCTGGTGCTTCCCACCGCAGCCGTCGGCCCGCGGTCGCGGAGGGAAGTCGCGCGACCGCTCGCACCCACGCGCGGTGTCGCAGTCGCAGTCGGAGAAGACCCAGGCCGGCACTGCCCAGGCGCAGCCCCCGGGTGGGCAAGGCCCAGGCGGCCCAGGCGGCCGAGGCGGAGCTCCGTAGCCTGGGGCAGCGAGCCTGCCTGGCTTTTCGCTGGGCATACCGCCAGGCCATGCCGGCAGAGGCCCACACCCCCTCAGCGTGGCTGGCCCCCCCGAAGGATCCCGAGGAGCTCGCCGCACACAGAGCACAACTGAAGAAGAAACTCGAAGCCTTAGAGTGCCAGATCCAGATACAACAAGCATTGAAATGCGGCCAGTCCAGGATCAGCGAACTGACGGAAGAGTACGCGGTCATCCTCTAGATGTTCGTCCACGCATACCCGGCCGAGGACCGCGTACTCAACCAGGACCGCTACATCGAGCGGGCCAAGAAACGAACACCGACGCTGCCGCCTCCGAGGAGGCTGCCAGGGTGGCGTTGGCCACCGCCACGGCGACGAGGGCGGCTCTGCAGGAGGACCTCGACAAGGCCTGCTCGTGGCCTTCACGACCATACAGGAGGTCGAGGAGGTCGAGGAGGCCGAGGAGGCAGAGGCCAAGGCGCAGCGAGATGCTGCGACAACCGCCCAGGAGGCAGCCGCAGTTCCGCCGTGGCGGCAGCAGGCCAGCCAGCCCAGTCCCTTCATGGAGGTGGACAGCGGACGACAGCAGACTATGATAACGCCGCCCAGTCCCTTCGTGGCAGCCGTGAGTGCTGCGCCCGCGCAGACGCAACAGCTCAGGGCATGCAGCCGATGCCGCAGGTGACTGCACAACTACAAGCGGGACACCGCAGGGGTGCCAACGGGCACCTCTCACATGAGGCCGATGCAGTTGCTGCCAGGACAGAGCACCCTCCCATGGCCAGTGGCTGGGGGCTCCAGACGCACCGCAGCAGCTGCACATCCCGAGGAGCCTCCCGACAAGTCCATTGCACTACCGCATCTCGCAGGGATGATGGACTGCGTGACGTCCGCGGTGCCCGAGGAGAGCGCCGACCAGGCCGCAGCAGGCGGCCCTTCAGCAGCAGCAGCAGCAGCAGCAGCAGCAACCTCTTAGCAGCTTTTTCAGTCGCCGAACGGGGCTCAGACGAGTTGAAGTTACATACTTCGCAGGGCTCTAGGGAGAACAATCAAGACGAGCTCTATTCGGGTACTATACCATCTACCCATCTGTGTGGCACTGCCCCCACCAGAGAGTGCATATACAGATACCCAGGTGGTCCAGGAGAGTCTCTTCCGGCCTTGGGGCACCGCTCTCGACGTCAATCTTCGTGCGGTGGCCCTCTTTCTGCACTCGTCTACTGTTCGGGCACTGCCAGGACTTTATCCCGTGAAGGACTTAGATCGCTGGTGTAAGATACATATCTTTCTGGATGGGTCTGGAGGGTGCAGTGGCGGGCTCGAGAAGGACGTTTTCGTTCCAGGTCGTTCGTTTCATGCTCCCAGTTGGGTCTTCGTTGTTCTCGTCGAGGACATCTTCGAGCGGGTCGCCATCGTCGGTTTCACTTCGATGACTTTCGAGGATCCTGATGTGTATCCTGACTCATGTTCTTTCCTGGCCGAACTCCTGGCGGCCCAGGGGGCCATGGCGTGGCTTTTGCAATTCAGAGCTTTGGATTACTGGGAGGCGCCACTCATGGATCTCTTGGGCACCACAGACGCCTCCCCCTATACAATTTCATTCGTCGATCGCTGAGCGTTTCGCTCAGCGGATGCTCCTGTGCTCTCTCTTCAGAACTTGTTTGTTATAGACGTTGCATGCCGGCGCGCAAAGCAAGCGCTCCCAACTCCAAACGGGGAGGCCACGACACGCCAAATGCGGACCGAAATCAGCTGTCAGAAGCTGACCGGAAAGCGCGGCCGAAACTCCCGCCACCGATTGGGGCAAGGAGGAGGAGGAGGAGGAGGAGGAGGAGGAGGGGAGGGAGAAGCTGGTTCCGATTCGGGCTAGGAGCAGTCGTATTATCCATGTTTCAGGACACCAGGCGCAGCTGTGGAATGAGATGGCGGATACTTAGTGCACCTTAGCCTCTGCACAAGTCTTTCACTTTCGCCCGCTCGCATCTGCTTGGAGACAGGTAGAGCAGCACATGGATGCGCTCGCGTGGGCCTGGGTGGATTCTGCCCCGCGTCTCGTGCGACAACAAATTCCTCCAGCGCACGGCATCATGCTTAACGAATCAGCCGCATCCTCTGTCCGACTTGCCGACATGGACCCAGAGCAGGAGCCCCATTGGAGTCCCACCATTGGGGTTCCTAAGGTTACCAGGGCGCACACTGTTGTTTCCGTAAACGTTCTTACTCTGGATCCCAGGGCCCATCGTTCTGCCAAGGTCGCATGGCCTGCATCGGGCATAAGTTGGCAGTCTTACGGGTTTTATTCGCCGGCACGGTCGAGACTAGATTTTCTTGGTCGGGAACCTCCAGGGTGGGAGAGTACCACGTCATACATTCAATTGGGGACCAATATCGTCGACATGGGGCTTTCATTCTGGGTTAATACTTCCATCGCTGTCTTCGACTCGGTACGTCTCTTACCAAGGCACTGTAAACATTTGTTTGCGGCGCCGCTTATGCTCGTTATGGCGATCCGGTGCCAGCAGCTCGCCCGGAACGTTGTGATTGGGCACGGCCCGCACAGCGGCGCCAGTCGCGATGCTCTCCAGTCGTGGTGGCAAGACTTTAGAGACAGGCTTAGCCCATTGCTCGACGCCGCCGTCTCCGAACTGTGGTTGATCGATGCCAATGGTAGAGTTGGGTTCCAGGACTTCGGAGGCCATCGGAGGGTACCACGCTGAAACCGAAAACCTACCAGGGAAACTATTCCACGATCTTCTGCTGGCTAGAGGGCTCTGGGCGCCGTCTACGATACTCCCGTCGCGCCTTTCGGGAGCTACCTGGTTTCCCCCTGCTGGTCAGACCAAGAGGCTGGACATGTCCAAGGGTAAACGTATTGACTACATATGTTGTTCCAGGGATTGCCAGGTCGACTCGGCTGCAGTGTTGGACTCGCTGGATCTCCCAGTTTCCATTGTAGATCACAAAACTATTAACGCTGTCATCCGCTTCCCCCTGATGGCGCGCGTCGGCAACCTGCTCTCGACATTCCCCAAGACTGCATGTAACACCCCCGCGTTTGAAGACCCGGAGCCCAGGGCCAATTCTGCCAGGTATGTTGAGCTTCACGAGCCGAAGCCAGACTTCAATACGTATGTCAACGATCATTGCCAAGACATCGTGCAGTTTTTGCAACAGGCCCTGCCCATGACGTTCCCTTGCTGCGCCACGGACAGGGGACGCAAGCCAAGGAAGTCGTGGATTACTCTCCCGACCCTGGAGACCATGGGCACGCGTACCTATCGGCTTCGCCGCTTTCGCACGCTTGGGGCACGCTGGCGCAAGGCTGTCTTGGGAGCTTGCTTTCGTGTCTGGGAAGCCCCGATTGATGGTGCTTGGTTCTGTTATCGGCGGTCTACGTGGACTTGGTGGTCTCGTTCTTTTGCGGGGTCCTCGTCGACGCCTGGAGGTTGGGTCCTTCGCAGTTTGCAGTGCTGGCAGGACGTCTGGGCAGGGGGCCTGGACATCATGGAATCAAAGTTGGCCCTCATGGAGTCCAACGATGGGGGTGTTGAGGTTGCTCAAGGCCGAGTTCGAGGCCCCACGTGATCATCCCTCAAGTCACTCGCTCCTCCGGCAGGCGCTGCAGCAAAGACACTCAATTCTCTCGGCATGTGGCTCATTGAGGTGCTCGCCATTATCCGCAAGCTATCTTCCCAGTCTCATGCGTTGCGTACAGTGTGCCTGCACGAGAGTACCAAGTGCGTCAACCTCCTTGTCAAGCTATATGCACGCGCGCCCTACGCCGACATCGTCGAAGATATCACGAGCGCTTGGTCCCCCAAAGAGCATGCCGTAGCATATAGGAGGTTGAGAGCAGTGGGGGCTTGTTTCAGGAAGAAGGCCAGATCAGCACCCCTCCCACTTCCTCGTGGCAACGACGGGCAGCCAGTGCATTCTGAACAGGACGCCCTTGCAGTATGGACGCAGCATTTTGCCGCTATTGAAGCCGCTCCTGTTATCCCGCACCAAGATTTAAGCTGGTACGAAAGCATTTTGCCAGAGCTGCCGGCAGAGCACTTGCACGACATTCATTTTTACATACGCTCGGCAGAGTCGAGAGGACAGGCCGCAGGGCCAAATGCGCAGCAGCGAGCCAGATACAGGGAAGGGTCGTTCTTGAGGGTCCAGGAGCCGATGCAATGGAAGGGGGGCTACGGCCAGCAAACGACTCCCGGTCCCCACCACCGTCCGCATCACATCCCCCACTGGTGTTCCCAGCACCACTGTCCTCACCA